GAATGGAATGATATTTGTTCGAGTTATGATGCGTGCCGTTTTGAAAAAACGCATTTCGTGAAAAATGTTGCGGTGCCGCCATTATTGAACATTTTTTTATGATAATTTCCTTTTCTGTTAGTTAAAGTGGAATCCAATTATAATTAACTTGCTTATAATGGAAACCCGTATATAATGGACACAATTTAAGGTCCTATAAATAATTGCATGTAAAATCCTCGGATATTATAGACTCGCTTAAAATAGACCCTCGCTTATAGCGGACTATTTTAATCTATTATATGTGAGCTACTACCCCGAAGCATATTTAGCTGATGCAATCGTTTACGGCGGTTTGGCTTCGCAGTTTGCATTCGAACTTGGCCACCAGTGTTATACTGTATTTATTAGAGTTATAAACATGTTGAAAAGTGTGAAATGTGCATTCACTTTACACGAAAAGTTCACAATAATTAGTGAGTTTGAGCAGGATTTATCTCAAGCAAATATATGCGCTCGTATGGCTATAAAAAATCCATTGTGTCAAATATTTGGAAAAACCGTGACAAAATTAAAAATGACTGGACATCAAACAGTCAAAAGAAAAAATGCAACTATCGCTGCATCCACAAGTCGATGATATTCTGTTAAAATGGTTTCAACAAAAGCGAGCTAATAATTTTCCAATAAGTGGACCTATGCTCCAAATAAAGGCTGAAGAATTTGCGAAATTGATTGGAGATTACTTCAAATGTAGTTCCGGTTGGATAGACAGGTTTAAGAAAGGACATAACATTGTTTTTGGAAAAATGTGTGGTGAGTCAGGTTCAGTTGACAAGAACGTTACCAATGTCTGGACATCTCAAGTTTGGCCTGTAATATCCAGTTAGTATTCAGATGATAACATATTCAATGCAGATGAAACCGGTATATTTTATAGAATGCTATCAGATAAAACTTATAAATTAAAATGTGCTAATGCTTCTGGTACTGAAAGACGGAAACTATTGGTAATAGCTAAGTGAATGAATAGAAATTCATTTACTAATTTTTTGATATTAAATGACAGTGCTGCAAATAATGTATGACCTTTTTTTTATTTCAGGGAAATTTAAGAATCCCAGGTGTTTCAAAAATGTTAAAACAATTCCCGTGGATTATGTTGGAAATAACAAAGCTTGGATGACTTCATAAATTTTTGAAGAATATTTAAAAAAGTGGGACGCTGAACTTGTTAAGAAAAATCGTAAAATTTTGCCCTTGATCGATAGCTGCCCCGCTCATCCAAATATTCCACCTAATAACATCAACCTTTATTTTTTTCCACCCAATGTAACATCAGTTCTGCAACCAATGGACCAGGGTGTCATTTGGAGTCTTAAATAAATGTATCGGAAACATATGTTGATGAAAATTATGAAGCTTCAAGAAGATGTCAACATTACCAAAGCTGTCACCATTTTAGATGCTATCAATTTGCTTACTATTGCATGGGAATTGTTTACTCCAGAAATGATTCGTAATTGTTTTCGCCATGCTGGTTTACTGAAGAACATAACTGAAATAGTCAAAGACTTTAATCCAGAAGATGAAATTCCATTAAGTCATTTACTGAAAATTAATAGTTTACTGAATATAGACAAATTTAATGAGTATGTAAATGTTGACAATAATTTAATAGCAACACAGGAATTGTCAGACTCCAATTTGGCTAATGAAGCATGCGTTGATAATGAACAGGAAGACGAACCAGAAAACATCGATGAAGAAAAGCTTCCTGTGACAAATAAGGAGGCATTAGACTAACGTGAAAAAGTTGCAACGTTATTTTCAGCAAGAAGAAGAAATTAAATAAAATTCATCTTGCTGTTCTAAATAATTATACAAAAAAACAGTCTGTTCAAATGAAAATTACTAGCTCTTTTACCAAATAATTTACGGTTTTCACACATACCTACACAGTACGTATGCCTGTAATATGTGTATCAGATTCTGAAAAAATGCAAATTTCAAAATTACGTATAACTTTTTTGCATGTATCTTTATTTATGTAATACATGTTAAACAAACACATTTCAAGCATTTAATATGTTATTTCTGCTGTTTTTTTCATTAAAAAAAGTGTTTCTTCTAGGATGGTCATCCGTCCATAATAGACTATTTGTCACAGTCAACTGGAAAATAGATACGAAAGTTTGCTGAATATCAAAGAGAGCGATTAAAAATACGGTAAATTTTACATTAGTTTTTATTTCGTCATTTAAATTTTGCAGAAATTTATTTTACAATGTCAGGCAGAAAATACAAATCAGCGTCTAGATGTGAAGCAATGCGAAACTGTTGTGTATGTGATGCATCATTCCTAATTTTTGTGTGATGTGGCTTAAATACATACAACGAGCGTGCGGTGCTGATTTCCTGTAATGCTACGCAACGTTTTTGAAAACGCAAGAAAAACAAACATGATGGAGACCGCCTTGCAGCTTGCAGCATGGTGATTGAGCGTGTCGTGTCGTTGAGTCAGTCCTCCATACATGGACGCTCACAGCGCTCATACCGAGCAAAAGCGGAGTGTGCTATTTGCACACCAGGAACTATCTAGACAGCAAGTTAACATTTTGTCGTTTTTTTGACGTTTTTTAGGTTTCTTACGTAATAGCCCTGACTGCCAGCAAAGAAAAATCTCTCTGATACCGATGACAGCATGTGATGACATCTATGAAATAGAAATGAAAAGATGTTAAATCATCCCTTGAACGTCCTCAAAAAAGCTTTATTATTTGTTTAAAATCTAAGGATATAGAGTTCTTCAAACGGCACACAATATACAACGAATATCGATAAATGTGCTGGGATGATAACGGATGAATACCATGGCCGCCAAATTTAACGCCACCATAAACAAAAACTATTCATGAATTGGAGACCAGTTCGAAAAGTCAATCACTGCAAAATAAAGCACTCTGTTTCATTTTGGAGCTGGCGAGAATGGTTCCACGATATAGAAATAGAGCACCTAAGAAGGTAATTTAAGTCATATCAATCGACTTCATGCGACTTGTGTAGCGTTCGTATATGTCATCATGGACGGTACGAGTAGATTTATTCTCCTGCGTATTGTATCTATTTGCTTTGCCAAATTATAAAAGTATATTGAATTTCCGCTGCTGTTGCTCTTTTAAATATATTATAGCAGATTGTAAATACAGAACTTGCACAGGTTGGTGAAGCGAAGAGCAGTACCTCATGCAAAATCACATTTGCTTGAGTAACTTATACAGAAAATTCCAAGCTGGGCGTTATATAGACTGGTTTCAGTAGAAATATATTTTTGAAATGGATTTTTCAAGTGCCTGAAAATTAAAGTTAAAAGATCTGTACTGTGACTAGCACTGAACGTGATTGTGTTAGAAGGTATTTAAGTTTCAGCTTCGTGTAACTACTGATATGCCTGTAAGCACTGATTTTGACAGGATAACCATGGCCGGTTGCTCGTGCTGCGTATCTAGTTGGTAATTGCAGAATGCGAGGCCGTTAATCATGTCAGCATAGGTACTTATTAACGTAATAATAATTATCGACATTATAGAGATTGCATAGATTACATGCTTTACGCTGGGTTGCCGTTATAACCTTCAGCATGCATCCCCACGAACTATTCCTAAGTGTTTGTTCAAAAATGCAAGCAGATAATGTATAGTAAAAATGCCGCAGTCAGTTCCAGTGGTAGTAATATTACCTTCGGTCAGCAACACAAAACCCACCGTGACAAAACACCTTAGAATTTTCATGACCCACATATGACATTGGACATTTGGAATTTTGATTTGCAGCACGTCATTATCGTGCCAGACTTTCGACTTTTTTGATATTTTTCTTGTTGTAATGTGATATTCAAGAGTATACAAGTCCACCACCTGATCCTTATACATGGCGCACTAAGTGGTTCTTAATCTCTCAACTTATTACTAGCGTAGTCGGTTTTTGAGAAACACACCAGAATATCATGTTTATTCAGCTTCAAACTTTTGAGAACGTGTTACTCAAAGTATCTAAAATAATATAGGTATAAATAGTCATATTTTGCTACGCATGTGCAAAATGCATACGTTCGAATTTCGCTTCAGACATCTTTTCGATATGTTCCATGATGTTTGCACAACAAAATTTCCAGTTACTTATTTTTGTAGATTTATCTGTATGTTTGTCCCTTTGACTGTTGGAATTTGAGAAGCGATATGGTTGGGCGGCGGAGTAATGACCAAAAGACAAATATGTATCAAATTGTATCTAAGTAAGTTTTTCTGCATATTTTACAATTTTCTGATAATTCTTAGCCACAAAAATATTCAATTCATTTAGAACATAGTCAAGGAAGGTTTTAGGGGTCTCTCATTGACATGCCAAATGTGCCTTGTTCTTTGAATAACAATAATGCTCCATAACTGCGAGTAATTATTATTCAATGATACGCCTATTGCTAAAAATACCCATAAGTACCCGAATATATAATTAGTTATGAAGAAAGGTATATATGTACATAAAAGTAGATATTTTTAGAATAATGATGAAATGTGGAATACCTCAAAACTTTCTAAATTCTGGATATCATAATATATTACTTATATGATTAAATCTGTTTGTAGTCTACAACGTCTTTTAATATAAGAGTAGACTGAACTTTACTTGGCCACTTGAATCGAATTTCTTTTTCGATATTTTCCACCGATTAAGTATTTAGAAGATATTCGGGTTCCTCAAGGATATCTTCTGTGACCTCTTATTTTTCTTATATTTACAAATGAGACCACGTTGAACTCTGCTTACTCAAGTAGTTCTTGGGTTGTTTCCAACCGAGGAATCAGTAGTGGACCTTCTGTAATTTTAAGCGTAATGTTGAAACGGGTGACGGTTAATCATTGCGGCATTCCGTTTCGCGATGATTATCTGGTGTGCTAATTATCAACATTACGGCCTGTGTCCCTCGTTTGCCCCGTACTCCACTCCCTGCGCTTATTTACCTTGTGGTTGCTGGTATTTGGACTTCTCGCCCTTTAGCGATAACTATAATAAAATTCGAAAAGGTCGTTTTGCATGCCAAATTGATTCCGATATACAATATGCAATATGAAGACTCAATACAAACTTTCTAACTCAGTTAAAAGAAACTATGACTGTTGTCGCAGCTGTGATAAAAGCTGTAATGTAAAATGTGAAACTTACTTTGAAGTTTTTATGTTGATAATCTTCCACGTTTGCCTAGCCGAACCATAAACCACATATGTTTAAAACTCCTTTTTATTGTACGCCGTTTCAGTCACAACGGTGACTTTCTTCAAGTAGAACTGACAGTTTTTTGACAACACATTTTATTCATCTATCTTCCAGGTGACACTCCTTTTGTTATTTAATTACGTTTCCACATTCCTATACAGTATTTTTAGAATAGTCACACGTCTCCCATATCCATCGTCCCGAAAACGCAAAAGCCCCCCGAAAACGCGAAAACCCACACAGAACTGTTGTCGTAACATATCGGTGAATTGTTATACAATCTTCGACTAAAATGCTTTCTGTGTATTGCTTATGGATCTGGAACGCGATACATAGTACTACAACAGTAAAGACAAATAACATGGTTTCCTTTAAATGTCGAAGTACTAGTTCTCACGTCAAACAAACTTAAAAATAGCTTTAAGTAGATCGACTCAGTGCTTTTCACAGATTACTTACTGTTATCAGTTCATACTGCAAGAATTTTTGAGAAATTTATGTATATTCCAAGTTACCTCCTCTATAAACTAATCCAAAAGGGTTTTTTTCTGGCTTCTAAAATTACTGAAATCCTTTCTTGAAGGAAGGAAGTTTCGTATCAAAATTGACAATGTTTTGTCAACAACACGGCCAGTACGGGTCGGTGTTCCTCAGGGTTCGGTCCTAGGACCAATTCTTTATTCGCTTTTCATCCATGAATGATGTCCCTTCCTCCAGCAACTGTGAAGTCTACCTCTATGCTGACGACACTGCACTTGTCGCCCAGTCGTGTACTGCTGATCTGGTTCACGATGGGTTGCAGAATGCGGTGGACGAAGTTCTAGAGTGGGCGGAACGGTGGCTGATAAAAATTAATCATTCGAAAACGCAGGCTATTTATTGTACCAAAAAACGTCGCGGCCCTCCAGCAGAGGTTTCTGTAGACGGAAATCGTGTACCATGGACAAATTCTGCCAAGTATCTCGGTGTCACCCTTGATAAAGGCATGACCTGGCAGAAACATACAGCATCCATAAAAACAAAATTTCAAATTGCGTTTCGGCAACTATATCCTTTGTTATGTAGATCCTCCCAATTGAGTTTGATAAACAAAGTTCGACTATACAGAGTGACACGTAAATAGGTGTAAAACATTTTAGGAGGTGATAGTACAGCTCCTTTGCTATCAAACTTAGTATATAATACCATACCCTATATTCAAAGGTTAAAAAGTTATGGAAGATTTAATTTTTTTAAACAAACAACCCAGATTACAGAGTAAAATAGTTGAGATAAAAAAAAAGTTGGTGATGAAACATTCTTTTTTTGGTGGTTTCAGGTTATTTTTTAAATAAATAATTCTCATAAATTAAAAAACATGAAAACTACTGAAAACGTATTTATTTTCATTTAAATGTTAATAAATGAAAATTTTTATTTTCAACTTTCACATTAAGAAGTCTTTTTTTCAAAAAAATCATAATAAAGAAAATGTACAAATAACTGCAAAAACTTCCTTGTTTCATTAGGTTTCTAAAATGGTATAATAACATATCAGTAAGTAAACCATTTAACAAAACAATATTACTTTGCTAGAAAGGACCGCTAAGCGCATTTCATTGTACTGAGCAGGTAAACCGAGCCTTTCATGGTTCGACCCTTTTTGTTATTCTTTAGGCCCTGTGCCGTTATTCGGGTTTAAGTATTCGGAATCTGTCGTCGTTCCTCGGAAGCAAGCTCTGCGTCTGGTATGAATTGACACAGCTGACGCATCAAGGAAAGGGAACCAACGCTTAGGTTAGTTAGTAGAATATCAACCTTTAACGCGGTAGGACGTACTTTTACTTTTTTGATCAGTTTTAATAATGGCGAGTTACCGTAACGAAGAATACGCTGATATTCTGTTTTGTTATGGTTTAAGTGATGGAAATTCCGTTGAAGCCAGGCGAGAATTCGAAAACCGTTTTCCGAATCGGCGAATACCGAGTCATCGAGTATTTGCTTCTGTGTACCAACGCGTCAAGGAAAGTGGACAGGTTCATGAGAGACGTCATGATGCTGGTAGACCTCGCTTGTTTGACGACGAAGATCGAGAGGCAATACTGGAATGCTACGGCAGAGACCCGACGACGTCTACGCCAGTTATAGCAAAGCAGCTTGGTTTAACTCAGTGGAAAGTTTGGTTCGTTTTGCATTCGGCGAGACTTTACCCTTTCCATTACACACCGGTTCAAGTATTAGAAGAAGGAGATCCCGCAAGAAGAATTGATTTTTGTCGATACATGCTTCATCGGGATCAAGAAGAAAACGACTATTTAACTAAAATGTTGTGGGCCGACGAGTCTAAGTTTGACAGAGAGGGGACAACAAATTATCACAACTTACATTATTGGGCCCCACGAGAGGCAAATCCCCACATGGCAAAGCCAAGAGCCCATCAAAGAAGATTTTCGGCAAACGTGTGGATGGGAATCATTCATACGTATCTAATTGGACCAGTTTTTTTTGCCTCTCAACCTGAATGGCGAATCCTATGAAAACTTTTTGAGATCCAAACTCTGGGAGTATCTCGAAGACCTGCCTGTGAATATCAGGATGCAGATGATCTACCAACACGATGGCTGTCCCGCGCATTTCCGTCTGGGTGTTAGACAGTGGCTGGACGAGAAATATCCTTGTCGCTGGATTGGCCGAGGTGGTCCGACACCGTGGCCAGCTAGGAGCCCAGATTTAACACCGTGTGACTATTATTTATGGGGGCACATGAAGTCACTGGTGTACGCTGAGCCCATAGACACTCTTGCACAGTTGAAAGAAAGAATTATTGCTGCTGCTGACACTATCAGAGGACAACTAACTGGCCGCATCACGCGTACCAACATGAGAAAAAGACTACGGGCTTGCATAAGAAACGGCGGACGGCAGTTCGAACAACAATTGCAATGAATTTTACCTTCATTTCATTATTGTATTTTACTTACCAATTGTAGTAACTTTTAGTCAGTTTTTATTATTCTGTAGTACAATTGCAACTGTGTAAATAATCTAATCGTGTAACTTAACCGTAGTTTAAAATAATAACTATCCCATAGCTTACAGTTACATTATTTTCACAAAAACACTTTCTTATCAATCAGAGAGTTGTGAAAATAGGAGACAAGCCATTGGTAAATTTACTCCCTATTGTTGTATTACAATACATTATGTTTAGTTTCACACAGTTTTTGTGCACTTATACCAATTTAGACTCCTTATGAAACAAGGATACTATTTAAATTGTTTGTACGTTTTTTTGTATACTGATTTTTTTGTAAAACACCTTACTTATTGTAAAACGTTATTTGTTTTTCTTAGGTAAAGAATTTTGAATGAAAATAAATACGTTGCTTGGTATTGTTTTCGAATCTTTTTTAATTTATAATAAACAAAAAACAAATGTTTAATCGCTCAGACACACATGCAACATGCAAAGTCTTCAAGTACTGCAGGACTTTGCGGACAATTTGCAACGCTCGATGGTATGTCTCAAATGAGACACTATACAGAGACCTTGACATTCCTTACTTGAGGGATTATGTCAAGCTTCAGGCGCAGCGACGTTATAGTTAAGCGGAATCGCACAGCAACCCTCTGTTGCGTGACTCAGTGGACTACACAGTGGAGCAAGTTCGTGAACATTCAAGGCTACGGCTCGCACTGTAATCAAAAGTTAGCGTGAATCTTTAGTAAACTCAAAATTACACTCTAACAAAACCGAATCAAAAAATTTGTTTAGTTCACGTCAAAATTAATCCGTGTACCATGTCAAAAAGCCTAGGTGTTTCCTCTTAAACTAAGCATATCTGTTTTTCTTTGCTCTTCTCCTTTTTTCTTCTCTTTCCCTTTCTATTTTTTCTTGACTTTGTCTGGTTTCTGGGCAACCAGGACTGACAGATTGGACTAACGTACATCAGACAGTGACTAATGGGCAAAGGTCCTACGGACCGCCCAGACAAACAAATGACGAATAGTTTATTCCAAGTTACCGTCAAATGGATAGAAACAAAATCTTAAGTAGTTGCATGTGAAATATGGAACCAACCAACATCGTTTTTTGAGGAAAAAAGCAAATTAAAATGACTCCTCAGCAAACGCACATGTTCAGCAAGCAAGCTCAAATGGAATTGGAACTTTTAATAGGTATGTTTGAGACTGATGAAAATATATACATCGATATTTCTGTGGTAAGCATTACTGCTTAATGAAAATTTGTTTACTAAAATCAAAAATGCATCATATAGTATAACAACTCCTGTATGTGGTCCGAAAATGATCAGCGACCACTAAAACGTTAAAGAGCGAAGTAGGTACGAGCAAATTTTTTGTGTATAATTATATCACTAACGTTCAAAAACCTACAGCGCTATCCGCTTCTGTCATGCCATACGAGTAGTAGTAGCAGACTAATTTTAACAAATCCTTGAATGAAAGACGCCAAAAGACAATCAAGCAGACAGGCAAATGAGTGAGAAAGAAAACATCTCAGTTTCGACAATTTAATTTCGCAATTACAATACGTTCTTCGAAAACTTTAGATGATTCAAATACATATTTGTTACTTGCCGAGATATACTAACCTATATTAGGCTAAATGCGGAAGTAGGAAAAACTAAAAAATGTAGCAAGATATCAGTATAAACTTTATGAAAACTAAAACTGTTCTTGTGCAAAAACGTACTTCTTGAAAACATATGTTTCTCCAATAAAATAGTCAAATGCAAATATTTCTTAGATTTCTGTTTTGCTTTTTGACCATTATCTAAGCAGACAGCATATCTAATCAAATATACATCTCCTATTTTTAGCATCCATTAAGATGTTATTGTCCTCCTCCACGGACTCCGTCGCCGTCGGTTGAAAATATATTTAAGCTGAAATGAAACAGCCAGCGAGGACGTACTTTTCCACTTTGCTGTCTGATTATGGCCTGCTTTAATCTAATTGATGATACGAATAAAAGCTTTTATGCCACCGACGTAAAATTCGCTAATATGACTTTACAATCGTACTTTGCCAACGAAAACTTCATTAGTCAGTAGACAGTTTTATCAGACAGCGCTATCTCAAGCTCGTGAATATTTGCGTGAAGTGGACGCGTTTTTGGTGTCGTTCCATATTTTGAACAAGTGATGCAGATTCTACGTGAAGCGCAATAATCCAGTTTATAAGTTGGGCAAAAAGTGTCAGTATCTTAGGTTTTTCAGAGGCAAATGTCTCAAAAATCAGTGTATTAAGAATATCCGGTTTTCGTTGACCTGTTTGGAAAGTTTGTAGATCATAGGGATCCCACCTACGAAACTGTCTTCATATCCTAACAACAATTCAATGATTTAAAAAAGTTTAGAGAAAGTTTTGAGGAGTTTATATCTCCAGGTTTTTACTGTACGTACATCTCCGGTCTCGCCATTATAATGGGGAAAAATGAAGTCAAGTAGATTGACGATATATTTCCCGCGCCTTCGAAACGACTTCTAGTACAATTTTCCATGCAGTGTAATATCACAGTGGCATTGAAAAGTTTCGTCAGAAGCACAAATTATGCTTTTCATAAAAGAACACGGATCGCAAAAATGAGCATGCCCGTGCACGATAGCCGTATTGTTTGTCATCAAGGTTCACGTAACATTCTTAAATTACACTCTAAGCATAACTCGCGTAAAGATCGCGCTCACCTCGTATACATCTCACTAATCCTTTTAACACCCCGTTAAGGACGCGTTATTGGTTCTTCGTTTCCAAGGAAAGACCCTTTCCCAAGCTACTTCTGAATATGTGACTCCAAATCTATGCATATGCATATTCGGCAGATCAAATAAAGTTAGGCTAGGTCTTTTCTGAGTGGGTCACTAGACTATTGTGGCTTGCACATATTTATATTTTTCCCAGTAATTCTGACCTCCTGTCCTTGGGAGTCGATCAACTTATTTGGAGGAATATCCCTCAAGTGTTCTTTTTGGAGTACTACTGCCCTCAAGCCTATTGTACGTGACTCTGGCAATTGCAGGGTATCTGCATAAAATATGCTTAACTATTCCATCTCCCTCCAGTCTGCAGTTAGCGTTAGTTTCCATGCCCAGTACACTTCGATTCCATTAAAGCTTTAACTTTATTCCTGTTTAGCCGCAGCAATAAGTCTGTATTTTTTTTTTTTGGTAAGATTCGTACGGTTGTGTTAGCATGGGTTAATACTATTAATCCCTCCCAGTGATGGTAGATGTTTCCTTTCAACTAGTGTTTGCGATTCCGGTCGCTGGTTCCGGCCCTATGAAGGGTGTACTAGCCCCACTCTTTGCTAGTGTCGGCGGTCTCGTTACCCTCAGACCTGTAAGTCCTGGTATTCATATAAGACGGACTTTATTTCTATCCCTTGTGCTACCAAGAGCCTTTTAACAATTCCACACTATTTTCGATGTTGAGCAGGTGGAGTCAAGTGCTTGAAGTGCGGCTTGACTGTCTGATCAAATAAGATAAAAGTAGACACATTTCGCGCGACTTGAAATGTCACACTGCTGAACTCTACGCAGCAGCGATGGGGTAGCGGCAGGTCCACTAATCACCGTGCGCTGCGCGGGTTCGGATCTCGTCCCAAGAGAAATTGTTCTCCTGGCTATGGATGTTGTGATTGTCTGTAGGTAGGAGACAGCAGATTTCTAAGGCGATGCCAGACGGTATGCATGTTGCTGCACACGTGTTCCCTTGCTGGAGTCCGTGTGACATTCCCGTTTCCCCTGTATCCCCCTATAGCCCTACGGTGCCAAAAAACCACTACCTCGCGCACCTTCGATGGTCCATCTCCGTAGGTTTAGACCTGCAACCGTTTAAAGATATACACGTATCTGGAAATAGACAAACCGCAAACAGAAAAGACCAATTGTTCCAGTTACTCACATAAGAAACAAAATATCAACATGACATGTTTTTATTTCCGATCTGAAACGACATAGGAAGTCTGCACAATTATTTCCGGTGCTGCATTTGCAGCGCAGATAAAGTGACAGAGCAATTTGTTATAACGTCGAATTCCGTGGTTGCAGATAAAGCGGTGTCAAAGATATTAATGGCAGAACGTAAGGGGATGTGACCGTTTTTGAAATTGAGATGTCTGTAGTGATAAATTGTGAACCGGCAACTGATTACGGGAATATTCGACGTTCATTTAGCATTCCTAAAATAAAACGTTTTAGTCAGACTCCCCTATTGGAATGTATATCATGGATTCGAGAGGTTTTTTGTACGTGTGGCACGTGTTGAAATCTTTACATGTGGCAAACCAACAGCTGCTTGTCTCAAATTCTTCCACATTGTGGATGGGCATTTGCTATAAATTGCCTAATTCTGTTGTCAGCGTATACTGATGGATTACAAGCGACCAAATGCTGAGAATATTGATCATTGCCATCTTATATTAAAAAAATCTATGAACGTTTAAATGTATCCGTCATCTTAATTTGAGTGGCAAAAAATACATGCATAACCAATCGAATTTCCATCCGTCTACAAATGATGGACATTTCGTGCTGGGGATTTGAAAATCATGTCAAAAAACGTGTTGGATTACAATAATTACACTAGTTTCTATAATGTAGGAGGCTTCGACCTCAAATGAGACACCGCAATTTTCAAGTTTAACATAAAATTAATACCCGAGGCACATGCAATTTAAATTCTTCTTATGCATTATACATACACGTAAACTGTAGTGATCGATTACTCAAAAAGCTGACACAAGAGAGTTGTGAAAATTTAGGATCATGCAATATCTGAGAATAATTTGGATAAATTATTTTCAAAATAGTGGCGTTTAAGTAGATAACAATTTGCTTATATTAGATCCGTATCCTACAGTAAAAAAGTTAAGCCATTGCGGTCATACGTGCATATAAACTTTCATCACGAAATTCTAAAATGTATTCATAAGAT